TCGCGCGCAGGCAGCGGCGGACGTGGTCCAAGCACCAACTGAACTGAAACCAGCACTAGAGGCCAATACCGCAGCATAGCCAAAAAGTAGCCACCGGCCCCAGGAGCGAGGGTTTCCTGAGCACGCGTCCAACGTGTCCTGCGCTGCCTCACGCTGTCCCGCTCTCAGCGCCAAAAACCAGCTAGGTAGAGGCACCCGCGGGGGGCGCACCTGCTTTTGTCGGGAGGGGTCGTCAGCCCTGAGGGCCCATGTGGGGCAGTGAAAGCCTGAGGCAAAAACGTTCTTTGCTAACTGCACAGCCATAGACTTCTTAAGAATTCTATTCAAAGCTCGGCTAGAACTGCGCCCTTTTGCATGGGAACCCAAGGTGACCAAAGAATCTTGAAACACAACCACTCTTGAATTCATTGGCACAATTTGAACCAAGGTCTTCAGGACATNNACATTAATGTGATTTGCCCGGGGAAAACGGTAGGCTCTGACAGTCTTCCAAGGCAACGCTTCAGCTAGTTGAGTTGACCACAAGTGGCTCACAAAGCGCTGGGCAGCCCTACAGTCCCTGACCTCACTCTCAACTGCAGCGCGAGACTCAAGAGGTGGCGTGCCCCTTGCACTTACCCCCTTTAGACTTATTTTCGGCAAGCTCCAAAGCCAGGCGTGCCACTTCCTCGCACAAGGGAAGAGGGTACGCTGCTGCTTTACTAGTCAGCGCACCCTCCAGTCTTTCACGCGGCACTTTACAGCGACAGCGTCTGCCCAAAGGACCAAAGGCCGCGGATGAGCACAGGAGGCCGGTAGGCTTAAGGTAAGGGGTCCCATAGCGGCACTGATCCATCCGCAGTTCAATCCCTTGAGCAGCGCAAGCTTTCCACCACGGAAGTTTCCGACTGAATGCACTCCAGGGGGTTTCCACTATCGCTTCGTTTCCGCAAGACAACTGGCAAGCGAAAATGAACAGTGATATGTGCATGTGGAGATTACCAACCGCTGTGTCATAGTCCAGCACGTCTAGTCCCCATGGAGCACACACAGACCGGCCTTTTGGGCGCCGAGCAAGCGAAAAAGTGGTACATGGCGGTCCAAGCCAACATAGAGAAATCCGCCCCGCACGACATAAACTAACTAAAAACCTAAATAGATTCTCATCCCCCATATCCCACTCTGGAAGTTCAATTGGAGGGCCTACCGAGAACCCAGCTTCCAGCATAGAGGCTGACAGCCGTGCGGTACCGGAATAAATCTCTATGAAGTCTAGACGGAACTCACTCCTCACCGGGCGATGGAGCCGCCAACATGCTTTCACAAAAAGCAGGTACATGCATTCACTGGCATCCGGGTCACAACGGTCATGATGCTCATTCTTAGGGAACAAAGGCTGGAACTCAGATGTGGCCATGTCTTGGGATAAATCGTCCTCCGCGTGGTTTTGACCCAACAACCATTCAGGCTCTTCACAGGAGTACCCCTTACTATGAAGACAAGCACCTTGGGGGGACAACAGCCTAGTGTAGAAGCCCCTGGAGTCCGACCTACGGAACAGCTCTTCGGCCACACTCTTTCCCACACGACACGCAACAATTCCAGCACCGCT